AAGGAGAAATGTAACTTTAAGGATCTGGATACGATCTGTGTGTATCTTTAACAGCAAAACAAATGTCATATAATAAATCATATGATTTAAATTATAGTTATTATTTGAAAAACAAATGCTGGAGAAACACCGTACTGGAAGAGTTTTAACTAACTTATTAAAACTGCAGTTTAAAGGTGTGGGATTTAAAGGTTGTTACCTATTTTAACTTTAAGCCTCGAAATGTTCCAAATATGTTTTTTTCTTTTTCATATTTGATTTAATTGAGAAGAATGCAAATTGTTAAGGCACTTTTCAATCAAAGCCAATTAATTGTAATAGACCCATCTAATAATATCAAGATCATGTAGACACTTGTGTTCTATGCCGGTAAAATTGAGATTGAGCCTCAAAATAATGTTTTTGGCCAAAAAAATAACAAGTGCAAACTAACAGCTTACTGGCATTTTATCTGTGACGCTCAAATACGAATGCATTTGAGAGTGAAACTATTAAACTTTGCTAAATGTTAAAAGCATTGATAATCCAAGCGAAGAGGATGAAGGACATTAAATGTGGTCTTGCTTTGCTGTTAAGAGCCTCTGTGTGACACATGCATGTGGCCAATAACAAACTCAAGGGCACTAAAAACAGAGAGAAATCTACAGGCAGCATCAGATTATTCATGACTTTCTCTTTTCACTTCTGCAGCTTCAGTTTGTTACCAGAGAATACAACACTTTTAGATGAGGACAGCAATTGGAGCAATGAACAAAATTAATTGAAATGAGATGACTCAAAGCTGTTTGTCAAAATACCTTGCATGAGGGGGGAGGTCCAAACATGAGCCGTTTAGGACAATGTGAAGAGAAGGCCTTTTTGATGACCCTAATCAATGATAAATTGTGTCGCCTGAGCACAAGTTAAAAAACAAACGCCTAAAGACTTTTATTGTGAATCCATTTGGGCAGCACAACACAGGTAAATAGGCCAAATAAGCACGTTATCTTTGGATTTTTCCCAAAGAAAACAATGTTTAACAGTAAAAATGTGCATATTTAGAAACCACTGAATATAGTTCCTCTCCTGTGATATGGCACTTAAATAATCCAGAATGAATCTATGACCAAATTAATTGTAAATATTTTTTCATGAGGAAATAAAGACAATTTGACACAATTATGGCTCTTGTAAATGATTCACATGGGTAAACAGTATTCAATGATAAATGTGTTGAGTAGAACCATGGATGTGTTCTTGTGCTGATTAATGCGCTAAAAAACAAAAAAAAATGTAAAAACAGAAAGAAAAACATCTGGGCCTGCGCGATGCATCTACGTAACGTGACGGTTCAGTCTGAACCTTTTGTTATTCCCACAGCATGTGTAGAACGTGTCTAAATTTACCTGAAATCACTGTATGGGTGAATTATCCAAAATCCGGCGGATTTAACCCGCTCTTGTTCGCGTTCTACTGCCTTCTCACTCCCAAACATCCTCAGGGAGAACTTGTTGACCCCTGGTTGAAGCATCGCTCCAAACTGTCTGTGTATGAACCCGGCCTGATACAATCTCTCGTCGTCCGGCAGAATTTGATCAATGCCGTCCAACTTAATGAACCCTGGCTGCTGGTCTGGGGACTCTTTTTGGGCACCATCACCATCACCACCACCACTGCCGCCACCACTACCGCTGCCCCCTTGCGCACCTTGATCAGGCGGCCCGTCACCGAGAGTTCCGGGGGGGCTCTCCTCGCTCGGGGTGACATCCCCCTCGGTGATGAGACGCCTCTCCTCCGCCGAGTCTGAGTCGTGAACATGCCGACTTGTGATGGACGAGAGGCTGCCTCGAAACCTCCGACAGTCTCCATTTGAGCTGGTCTTCATCGGTCTCCCAATGTCCGTCTCCATGATCCCAGACTCCCCACTTTTTGTCTCCCCGATGCCTTTGCAGCTTCCCCCAGAGGTCGGCGACGGTGACGGGAGAGGCTTCATCCTGATACTCTTCCTCCGGGTGTCCTTGTCTGCGTCTTCTCCTTCTCCCATCACGGATGCTTTCTGCCCAATGTGCTGTGGCAAACTGTAGAGCCTTTTACGCATGGAGGAGTGCAACCTGTCCATTATGACATTGAGACACAGTGGTGGAAATTGAATAAATCCAGTTTGTTAGGCTGTATTGTAACGATTATTGCCAACAGCCCCGCTCTCCCCTATCTATTTGTGAGAGCGATCAGTCTGGAGCTAATCTGAATCCCTGAAATCCTGCTACACATGACATGGACCGCCGTAGCTCTACTGAAGCAGATGAGAGACACTCTTTTTCATTATGAGACTACCTGGCAGTTTGCATGTCCTCACGCACAGCCTGGGCGGTCCGCTTGGCCACAGCGTCCTGATGTGCATCTTTGTGCCGCTCCGACATTGTGCGCAAAAGTGGAAAAAACTGCTTGAAAGTCACCTTAGCGTGACATGTGAGGGACGTGCCGTCGGACGGTGATATGGAGACGAGGAAAAAGGTCATACACGTCGAAGGATGCCTTTTTCACCAGATGTCTTTCCAGTTGCCATCAAACAACACGACACAATCAAGTACAATACAGTCGAGCATTCCAGGGAGCGCTGACATCACTGATCCATAGTCATGGTGCGTTTTGGCGAATAGTGAATATTCATGATGCTGATCTATTGGGTTGCCATAGGAGCGAGAACTGCAAATAAGCTCAGCCCACCTTGTTTAAAGGGGCATGCTCTGCCCATTCTTAAAACGCTCTCCTCTTCTCTTAAGTTAGGGCTACAGGTAGGCAATGCAAGCCCATTGTTCAGCCCAGGTGAGGGCTTCACGAGGAAGAACCAGAAAGTCTGTTCACAATTCCTTATTAGTCTGTTCCTCTGATAATACAACCCCATAATATCAGCTGGAAAACATACTGAAGTGTTTAAACAAACATGGTTTAGATGTGTTGTGCCCTCTGAATTAGAAATATTATTTCCTTATTAAATTCTGAACACTTTCTTGCTTAATATAAACAATATCCATACTAGCACACTTCATACGGCTAACATGTAGTGAAACATCAATATTAATGGCCATTATTTTGATCACTTTGCACTTAATTTTAATGTACCACATGCATGTATTCAAAAAGGAACTATACCTTTTTCCGACAGGTAGCCTTGCAAAATTCTGATGTCAGTTATGAGGTTGCCCATCGATCATTTTAATTTCAACAACTTAAAATCACCCTATAGCATTATAGCCTAAAGAAAGATTCAAAGAAAGACTATATTCTGGCAAAAGCAATACAGCACTACAAAGCAAATTTCAATTTGACTAAAATATGGAACTTTTTTACTGACAGATTGTCACAGGAAAACATTTTATTTAAAATAATGGTCCCACAATGTCCATCACAATTCTTGGCATCCTCATGTTTATGTTGTTTTCACACATAAAATGAAATAAAACCAAAAAATAAAAAAGAACTGTAAATCACTAGTCACTCGTGATAAAGAACGTTTTTGTTTTTTTAAACCAAAGTGATTCTTGTAGACATTTTGGGTTTGCATGGCCCCACAGTCATGAGGTCTGTTTTAGACTAATACCTCTCACTCCTTGTAGCCAGAAAGCGAAAGGCCTGCTGACGTTTGCACCTACCATTAAAAAAACGTCATTGGATAAACGCTTAATATACTAACCTTTAGTATTTTATAGCCTCCTTAAAACATGAAAATAAAAGTTTTGAACCCAAAAAATATCATCTAAAAGGCCACACACTCCACAGGTTCATCCTGACTCGTAAAATGTCCACATATTTGTATATAAGACATCTCAAAACATCGCCTAGATTCAGGGGCAATGTTGTTCAAGTGTTATACATCACAAATCATTGGTAATTTTCCTTTTATTTATGTATTTTCAAGTCCTACCTGCATTGTTGTTCTGCCCCTCATTAATAAAGTATAAAGCTGAATCTGGAAACAAAACAAAAACATTAGCGGGAGATTAGATTGCTTTATTTGTGACAGAAATCTTAACTAATACTTTTTGCCTGGTCAGTTGCAGTATTTGCTCACTCTAGATATCTTTGTATCTGTAACAGGAAACTTAAGAACCCAAATCTCAACAAGTTCGGAATAGGTTTAGAAACATCATACCGGTGCGCTGGATAGTCTAGCGGTAATGTCATGAGCCCCATGTGGCTGTAGTCCTCATTGCAGCGACCGTGGTTCAAATCTTTGGCCCTTTGCAGCATGTCTTCCCCTACTCTCTCCTCCCAACACTCTTCAGCTGTCCTGACGAAAAGTAGCCCAAGAAACATCAAACCAAAAAAAAGAAACATCAGGTCTCAAAGATATCCTTCATTACACCTCATGTTTATCATCGCTCATCCATATTGGACCATGTTTCAGTTTTATAATTATGGGTTCATAAAACACAAGCAAACTCTATTCAGATGTGATGTTTTGTTCCTATACACCTTTCTTAAACCTATCAGTCTATATTACATAACAAGTCAATGTAATTTACAGATATGGCAATATACACATGATTTGCTAGTAGGCTACTCTGTATTCAAACAGACTACATTTGCTTCTAAAGTTCTATATGAGAGCTACTTAGCTTAATGTTTATCTGGTATGTCATTCTTTCATTTCATTTGCAAGCAAATAAATTACAGCTGTGGTCTTGAAACGTAGGCTAAAGATAAGACTAAAGGAGCACATATACAGTGTTGCCAACTCCTCAGGAAGGAAAGTAGCTATTGGCTGTCCTAAAAGTCGCTAAATGACGCAATCGCCTAATTTCCATAATTGGCCATTTGCCAAATATGACCTACAATTTTTTTGTTGGACCGTTGTAAATACATTTCTGTTCAGCTTACCATTATTCAGTTGACAATGTTTAGGCCTATCTATCGGTGTGTCTGACTTTTTTATTATTTTTTTTAAATTATTATTATTATTATTATTATTATTATTTTTTAAAGCATTTTTCAGCGCGCGTTTACGGTTTACACCCAAGAAGGGCGCCTACACAAACTTTAAACTTTGCTCGTCCAGTGTTGGTAAGCCTGAAAATATCGGTAAACAGAACTCTTCTGCTGGACATATGGCAACTTGTCAAGAGTGGAGATTAAAACGCTACGGTCGTTTAATTACTGGCTCAGCAGCAACGGGGGGAGAGCCATGGAAGGTATCTCACTCAAGCTAATAATTATGTTTTGTTCGCTAGCCTACATTAGCTTATCACATTAAGATAACTCTGGTATCTATTATACAATCTATAGTTCGACATTAGTCCTTAGTTATAATGTTTTGACCGTTAAAAGATGCAGTCATTGCAAGGTTATTGTTTTGTTATACAGTTATCGTCTAAACACACTAATTATTCATAATTGTACTTGGGAGCTAAGTGCTAGCTTGCAGTGTATGATACTCGCCACTGAGCGGCGCTGTGTGCGGCTTCTTTGTCTGGTTAAGTTATTCTCATCTGTCTAGTGAAGAAGAGAGGTGAAGTGTTGGTAAATGTCCAAATAAACGCAGGCAGGTGCTTTGTCAGTTTAGTCAACAGGTGTGTTGTTATAAAATGAAAATATCTACCTATGCCGGACGTCTTATTTAGTTGTTCCCAATGAGAAGAGCATAATCAGCAGAATACACCTGCACCCACTGTTTTTTAAGGTTCAATTCAATTCAAAAAACTTTATTTGTCCCCGGGGGGCAATTCAAAGGCACACAGAGCAGTAAATTAACAACAGTGCAAGTAAACGAAACATATTAACCTAAATATAAAGTGTCAATTTAAATACAACTTAAAGCTTAAACTTAACTTAAAAATACAAAATATAAAAAGAGTAGATATAAGTGGACAGTGATCAGACTAACAGATGTAAACAGATGTAACCAGAACTATGTGCAGTAGTGACCAGATGTAAACAGAACTATGTGTAGTAAACAAGAAATAAATATATGCATACAGAACTATGTGCAGATAGGCTAAATACTAAGTACTAAATGATAAGTTATAAGGTGCATGGTGAATAATGGAACAACAGATCTACTATAATATAACTGTAAAGGTAAAAATTAGATAAATAAAGTGACCGTCGTGCAATGATGGATAAGAAACAACAGGAATAAAGTAACAAGAACTGAATGAATACTGAAATAGAAAGGATAGAATAAAGTGATGTAGTGCATGAGACCAGAAAAAGCAGAGGCAGTTAAGGTGCATGGCAAATGGAAGGAAGATTACCCCTACCTACAAATCTCAAACTGAGCAAAACTTTAAAAGAGCTGGAGTCACCGCTAATTCTCAATCCAACCATGACAGCTAGATTGGACAAAACGTGTTACTATGGAAAACAAGAAAATGGGGTTAGCCGCCTGTCAAGATCTATCTACACAGGCAGAAAAGCATATCTGGGATAATACATCTACTCGATGCTGAGTGCTGCTGCCGATTGTTGAAATTCCTTGTCAAAGTAAAAGAACAAATAGCTTTTAGAAAAAGTAAAATGGATGATCTGTTAATCAATCCTGTTTGATTTACATTTTCTCTCTTATGGCTTCATTGCAAACAGAAGCATAAAAAAACATAATGGTACTCTTAGTCTACCAACAATTTCAGTATATCTGCTAAAGTAAGGTATTGAACGTTCACTATACAAAAATAAACAGTAAATTCCTCATTGATATAGTAAACAAAACAATACACATTTGAGGAATTATGTCAAACTTGAGTTTTTGAGGGTCTGTTTGGTCGCACAAACAAATTATCAAGGGAAGATGAAGAATAGGCAACACAGCTGGGACATTTAAATCTGCATTCTTTAATTTGGGAACTAAATTAAGTGGCAAAAAGCAGAAGCATCTTCCAAAATACCTGCTAATCTTATGTGTAGCTCAGTGAAGAGCATTTAGCCAGACTTGTTTTTGACCAATTTAAATTGCAGGACTTCATTGTTGCTGTTAGCTCTGCATTTTTCTTCTCATGTCTTTTTTTTTTACCAAAGGTTTGAAAAATATCAGTGGGGACCTTAAAAGAAAGACTCGGGATGCTTTAGTGTGCTGTAACAAATGTATATACTGTCAAGTCTAGTTTGAAGAATTGTGGTTTTGTCTTTCATTGACTAGATCTGGCTCTAGGTGGCATGCTGGAGCTGTGTGTTTAGAGTGAAGATAGGGATTGATGGTTGTGTAACAGAAGTCTAACCTACCATAGATATCAATTGGATTTGGTTAAACTGAGTTAGGTTTATTTACAAGCTACACATAGGTATTTAACACAAATTAAGTTGTGCATTAGGCAGTTTGATTTTGTTTAACTCAATTTTAAGAACCCTTTTGTAAAGTTCACAGTGCTTCCCAAAATCTGTACAATCTAGTGCTCATAGATTGGTCACTTCCCTTGATTTGTAAAGACATACAAACACCCTTTCTGAAACATGTAGATTGATCCATACAATATTGATGTCTTTACAATGGCTTATATTTTCTTCTCCTTCTAGGTGTTCGAGGCTGATGGTGATAAACCAGGAATTTTTCTCAAAATTTTGGATTCTGGATACTTGTTGGTTTTGCAGGGGCAGGAAAGTTTTGTAAGTAGACTGTTTTGTTTCTCATGCAGTGTCTCTGGTGATACAACAACTGAGTTTCAAGCCTGATTATATTTAGATCTGGGTATGTCTGTGTGTTAAGGTATTTTAACATTTAGAGGGCTTTCACACTTGCAGAAAACTTTTTCGCTCGTTCTTCACCCGGAGTTTCTACTGCCAGACCCTTTGTAATTCACCTCGAGCCAATGGGAGGAGGAAGTGACGTTTAGATACAGTGACTGCTGCACGGTGCATAGAAAGTATGCATGCGATCGCTACGATCTCTGTGCACGTAATTAAACGGCTGCATTACGTCGTATGTTCGTCAGTATGTTGTTCTCCGCTTTTTTGTTGATAGTGTGATTTCTTGAACTACATGTAGCATTGATATAAAGGAAAATATTCTCATTATAGCGTCGTATAGTGGACTCTGTTGCGTCGTCCACTACTTCCTCATTGTTTTTTTGGGGGGTTTTTTGCGTCACGTCTTACCTCAGGAGATCCCCTGCCCCGCTCCCTTCTGACAGGAATAGTCTCCTACTGTGTGGAGCATGTGTGAACAGCCAGGTCGGGAAAATCTCCGGAGCAGTCCCTCTGAAATTATTAAGATATTTTCAGGAGTGCTTATGTGAAAACAGCTACAGATTAAGGATTCAAATAAGCTCTGAGTTTCCCGCTTCTTCCTGCGCTGAATATTGTCTATTTTTTTATTTGTTTAGATTTCTTTTTTCACTGTGCAAATAAATAAAAAAAATCATCAATTGTCTATGGAGTATTTTTGTTAGACTTATGACACTGTCCTTTTTTGGAAAATAAAGAAAGAAAAAGGAATTGTATTTTTATTATTGATGTACGAAGGACCTGAGAAGATTACATTTACATTTGTAACATAAATCTGCTCTCTAGATAAAATGCTTCAGGGAGGCCATGTAAAATATTCCGCTGAAGAAGAGCTTGACATTTCAGCTCAAATCTGATGGGATGTGTCTGTACTGTTTTGGTTGGTTCAAGTTAAATATCCCTCAGAATGTTTTGGGTGAATGTTTAAAATAGGTTTAAGAACATCACTGAGAAGAACTTCAGGTTAAGACTTTCATAAAGAAATTCAGGACTTCGTTCAGGTTTGATATAAATATTTTAGTTGGTGTTCAAGTTGGCTGTGATCTTAAATTCCCTGATTCAATTTCTATTTCATATGCCTCATCAAACAGGGGCTCAATATTTGTTTTTAAAGTGATGTGTACGTTTGTATCCAACATTGTCAGAGCTATATGTTCATCATAATTCAAAAGTAGGTCAATGCCAGTTTTGAATAATCAGGGCTAGGAATGATTACATTTCACTTCACAAATAATGGTGAAGACTGTGTTGAACCAACAGTTCTAGCACCTACATTATAGGTGTGTTACACTTCAAACTCTTGTAATGAGTCTGAAATGCTAGAGAAGAGAATGGACATGGTGCTTTCTATGAGTTAATGTGGCCTTTGGACATAAGAAGTTAACTACCTGACCTGCAGACAACAGAAATTTGAGGGTCTATTCAGTGTCTTATTAATGGAGTTCTGGCAGGTGACACAGCTATCTTGCTGTGCCAGGGTGTGGAGCCAGACAGATATTCAGGTCAGGCTGAGGAGACTTTCCACCAAGGATGATAGACTGGTCTATTATAGATTGGTGCAGTGAATGCTGAGGACCTCTCAGTACAGAGAGTTACGGCCTATATGCTACACTGTAAGGTCCAAAGGAAACTGTGAACAAGCTCAAAGTTTACTGTGCCAGAGAGAATCAAAGTGTAACTTATTGACTTCAGAACTCTTCATAAAATGTGGATATCATAACTTAATAGACACCAGCAGGAAGAAATGAAATCAGTATTCTGTTAATTTTTACATCTGGCATTTATTCATGCTGACCATGCGAAAGATGGTGACTGCCTCAGGGAAACCAATCAAAAGAGTCTTTTAGAAAAATATTGACCTACTATGAGCCACCAGAGCAGCGTCACTTGTAACTAGAATAGAATAGATTTAAGTCAAATGAATGGGAAACTGCTAAAAGTATGAAACAGCATTCCTTCAAAAGATATTCACTCATTTGGCATATTCTTGATGACAAGCACTGTCTTGCTGAAAATATTTGTCTCTCGTCTAACTGAGTTGGAAGCTGGAGATTTTGAAAGTCGTACAATATGATTCTCATCACTATTACACTACCTTCGAAATCCATTTATTCATCCTGCATGCCCGTATGGAAACATCTCTACTTGTGAAATTGTCTTTAAAATAGTTGTAATTCAAAAGTGGGTATTATAGACATTTGACATGGACGGTGGTTCGACAGTACAGAGGCCCCTACTTCCTACTACAGTACCATTGTTCATGGGAAAACCCACTATATAGATGACATAGCTGTAAAGTCAGAACCACTCATTTTAAAGCATCCTAAACAAAATAGGAAGGTCACATTATGAAGCCACTGATAATATACATCTGCCTTTTTGATAGTTTACATTTAAGAGCTTATCCTAAGCCTTGATGCTGGTGTTGCTGGGTAAACAGAGACCCCTGCAGACGGTTTTAAGCAACTGTTTATTTCTTCCTGTCAGCTTGATATAACTATAAAGTCCTTTTAGTCCATTGATTTAACATAATATTTCATGAGTGAATGAGAAGACATGAAGTTTTTACTTTTACTTAGCTTTACTAGGTGTAGTTCAAGGGGGGATGTCATTATTTTAGTCTTTTAATTTATAAAAAAGGATTTATTGTAAGTGAGTTCATGTAGTCTGTGGTTGAAATTGTTTCTTTTTTTTTTTCTTTAGGATACAATACCTCTGCTATGTGCTTCAGATTCTTGCAAAGTTCACCAGAAATCAGACAACCTCATGTTTCGATTTACTGTGAAGGTGAGATATGATTTGCATTTCCATCCAACAAAAGGTAGAATTTTCTTAACATCTTTATTTTACACCTTAATGGCCTTGTTAGAAAAAGAGGATTATTTTGACACACTTGTCGTTTTTGTACCCTTTGTACATTTTAGAACACTGAATTTTTATATTTTTCTTTATTTTCCTTAATTTAATCTTCCATACTTAATTTCTCTTATATATTTTATTTGAATAACCTCAGAGTGTTGTCATCAGCACAGTTTAGATTGGCAGAAACAAACTGAATGAATGTACTTTTGTATTCTTGCAGGGAGAGAGCCGCATGATGAGGATGCAGTTTGATGGAAGTAGCAAGGCAGAGGCTATCAAACAGTGTTCAAGTGCTGTGAAAAAACTGATGGAGTACTTACCTGTCACCACACAGAAAGACACCCTGCCGGCTTCGAATCAGACCCCTGCCGGGGATTCTGTGCCAGTGAAACAGGTTTCCCACTTTGCAATTCAAACAATAAAAATGTTGGATTGATCAAGAATTATTATATTAATATATTATTAATGTAATCAAAAAACATACCTTTAACAAGGCGGACACTTGAAGCTGAAGGTCTAATTTGTTCCCTTCTCCTTACATTGTCCTTCTCACATCACAGTTTATTGCCTAGTATGTTGTAAATATTAAAAACTACACCAAAGTGATGTATCCTATTGTATCATATAATCATTACTCAGTTCTTCATCAACAGTCACAATTCTGTGGTCTGCTTCATGAACCGTAACAAGCACTAGATGGTGCTATTTACAATACTGTGTTATTCTTAGAGGTGACATTAGGTGGACAGAGTTACAGTTTTGTGCACAGGAGTCAATAACCAATAACAGCAATACTATAGTGAAGAAAAATATTCCACATCATAACACATAGACAGGAGAGTAGTACAATAATACAATTAAATGTTAAATACAGCAATCAAATTAGCTTACTATCAAACCCACTGAAAAAATAATTTCTTAATTTGCATTTGATAGTCAAAACGTTGGTTATGAAAACTAAACACTTTGGCCCCAACTTGAAACAACACAGGCAATGTATCATGCATTTCATCTCAGTTAATATTCAAGCTCTATGAAGGACATAATGAGAAATGTTGGTGCTTTATTGAATGATTAAGATTTATTCACTTTTGGCCTTTTATTTATAATATTTATAGGCTCAGAGCAAATTCTTAAACAGATCGTGAGTAGAAACTCAGATCCAGCCATCCAGCTAACAACCTTCAACATGAAGGACTGCAAAGGAACGGACCCTGCCATGGGTCTGAATGTGACCTTTAGTGAACAGACACACTGAAGGAGTTCACAGTGAAGATGAAAGGGCTTTGAGGGCTAGATATCTTTCAATTAGTAATGAAGCCATAGATTGGCCTCTTAACCCTGCAGTGTCATGCCGTGTTCCTCAAATCTTTTTTTCTTCCTTTGTGTGCAATTGTATGTCAGCAGACTTATCAGGGGAAGGCTGTGGGTGCTGAACCTGTGGTTGTTAAAGGATCATTGTCCATAGAGCATCTTACCCAGGTATTACAATTTGAAGTGAGAGATAACAACTTTCTATATCAACACTGCAACTTATGAATTTTAATTGTCTCATTAATTTTTAAGAGATGCAGGTGGCTCAGTGTAGTTACCGTACTTGATTCAAACTATTAATGCCAACATCAGCTACTGTATTAGGTGTTTCTTCCTTGACTACACTGATGAATCTGCTGGACCCTCCACAGCACTTCTTAGGAGGGACTGCTGTGACTCTGCCTCAAGTGTATCGCCACAGTTCTTTGGCACACATCGACCTGGAGCCCGTCCTGCGTTTATGTCTCCTTGATCCCAGCTTTCCTGCATTTGTGGAGAATGTGGAGGGGGAGCTGAGGAAACTGCTTGAAGAATGAGGAATCTCATCTGCAGCTGAAGGCGAAGAGGTCAAGTCAGTGCAATGTGTTCTTTCTTATACAGTTTGTGTAGGCAGCTCCTGTTGGTTGTGTTGATGCTTTGCTGCTGATGTTCTTTTGAAATGTTTCACATTTGCTATTATTGTGTATGGCCTAATGCAGATTTTCAATTTGGGCTGTTAGAAGACTCTGAAACAGAAAAGAATTTCAAACTTTTTATTCAGAAAAAAAATATTGGTCTCACTCATATGTTTGATCTTGGCTATATACTCTGGTCCCTCTGTTCCCACCTTGACGCAGGTCCATTTCCACCTCAACACACATGGGTACATTGTATTGAAACAGGAGTCATGCAGCTACAGCAGTGAATTTTGCTATGCCCGCTTCCAAGTGATTCCCACAATATTAAAGCTTCACTGAGTAAAACAAACTGCCCTCCATATATCTATTTAAGAATACATATTGCATAGGATTATAGCCATGCTATACAGTTAAAGAGAGAACAAAATAAAAAAATCAAAATCAACAAATGAAATTGGGAAATATAAAAAAAAATATCTTTTTACAGATTTCCTATCATTTGAACACTCATACTTAAACATACACAAGACACCTAAGTTACTCCGGAAAGAAAATAAAAATAATACACATCATTTTTGTTTAGATATTTAAACACACAGTAGTCATTTTCTGTAATCACTCTCAATAAAATGTAAATACTGCCAGTCTTTGAAGCCCTTGCTTCACAATTAAAGTTCTGTTAAAATTGGGCTTCACAAAATCAAACTTATTTAACTGACCATGATATGCTGTACAAATTCCAAGAATAAAACTAACTCTACATATATATGTATATATAAATATACATATATATATTAAATAGGGATGACTCCATAAAAAACATAGGTCATTTTAGATGCAAAAAAAGCCACATGAGGGATAACAACAGAAAAGGTCTATTCTGAGTATCCTATTGCGTAATCATCTTGCATGCATTGTACATGATATGTAATACAAAAGGGATCGCCTCATCTGAGGATACGATTAAATCAATAAAGGAGACACAAACAGCACATTAAAAATGTGTACACCTTTGTGGTGGTTTTAGTCATTATTCGTCATCCTGTAATCTCCATGTTAAGACTGAATAAGGCATGCTTAAGACAGCCATTATGTTCTTTTTGTTGCCAGTGTTATGCTGATATTGTTTCTCATAAAATGAGACAAGATATGCTTTTTTCAAAACTGCCTGGAGCTCCAACCACCTCTGACACCTTCTTGTAATCCAAAAACGCAGTTTAGCCATCTCATCTGTGAAGAGAAAATCAAGAGAAGGCGTGACTACGGATAATCCTTGCAGAGAGTTCTATTATTAGCCCCCATCCCTACAACAGTGTCTTACTTGAGTAAATTGCTTATTTCATATTCCTCTGGCGAATGTTTTTGTCCTTGTGGTTGTTTGTTGAATTTGTTTTCCTGGGAAAGAAGTAGTTATGATTTAGTGACCTTAAGGAAATAATAATTCAAATGCAAGAATAGGAATAAATAAGAAGATACTTACATTGGTCCCACTGGTTCATCATCTTTGGTATGGGAAGAAAACAGGAGAAAAAGAGAACATTAGTCACATATGAGATAAAGATCAGGAAAAAAACACAGCTTGCTTGATTCAGCACATACGTCTTTGCCTCTCAGACATTTTGACTTTGTTTTTCCAAAGCAGCCTTTAGTTGAGCTGTTAGAGACAGGTTACCAAATTCCTCAGTGAACATTAATATTTTGTGATGCTGCAGCTGAAAGCACAGATTGCTTTGAATACTGGTACAGCATAGTCGTGCACTGGTGGGAAGCTCTGACATCACAGACATGGGAGTCAGCTGCTGAACAGCTCTGTATGCACAGCCTTTGTTTCTGATAAACAGACTCTGAAGGAACACACTAAGCAAACATATCAGACTGAGTAGCTTCTTGTGGAAAAGGGTTTTTTAGACAATAGAGGTTCAGTGAAAATGGTCAGTAGTTTTTATATGCAGTAGAGGGGCTGAAATGTGGAGAAACATGTGGTACAGTCTTTAACATAACCACATCTTTAACGCCTTGCATTGTAAAACTTCCCATGCCATCTGATTCTCATGGGGTTTCTTTTCATTTCAGACCGAGCATATGTGGAGGAGGGTTACAGATGGCTCACTTAAAGCCATCTTTTAATTACACTCAGTAATTTCATAATGGTTTCGAATGAGCCTTGTATTTGGGTGTGATACTGTGACTGACTTGGCATAGAAATTTTATTCCCTTCAAGGCTTACCGTCAGCATCTAGACCTGTTATTTATTTATTAAATGCTAATTCCACTCATACTCTCATCTTTGATGATTTTCTCAGAGGGACCATATGAAATTGTAATTTTCAAGATACAGTAGTGCAATAACCACATTTACTACAAGGTGACTGTAAGACTGCTGGAAGAGGAACTGGTGAATAATAGTGGATATTGTTGTAGTGAGTGGCAGGTAGAAAATCAACAGCCTTCAGGGTTAACATGGTGGATGTTTTTTTGCATAAAGATGAACATGTGTCAACCACTTAATAACCATCACAGTGAGATTTTTCCCATGCAGTTATAAATCTGAGATTAGCAGCATTCCATGGAATTAAATGAAGAAGATTATGTATGCAGTTAATAATAATGTTTGTGAGACAAAAAATGGTTCTGTGATCACGTGTGGGAGGAACATCTGTGAGCATAAACCAGTGTTTCACACCTCATCTAAACACCACAAAAACAGTTTGTACTACAATGGCTTTGAAATCACATTACATTACGGATTTTTGTGTGTGTGGGGGGGGGGGCAGCTGAACATTGACAATAGTCATAGTATTGTATCAAGATTTCATTTGTTTCAGTAAGCTGTTTATATAACTTAAAACAAACAGAATGTGGATTAAATTTTGATCTTAAAATGTGTGTTATTACATGAAGCGAGCCTGTATTTAGCAAATGATGATCATGCAGCAGATTCAGTCATTTTAGCATCTGGTTTTGGAATAGTGGATAGAAATGTCATTGTCTGTCTTAGAGCCCTTGGCCATGAAGAATGAAAGTGTTCAAACAGCTAAGCCATCAAGAGACTAAAATTCATAATGCAGGCAGACAGGGGAAAAAACCTCTGGGAATACGGGATGCTAAAAGGAAATTTCAGAGAGGCTGTGCATCATGAGCAGGGAGTCCTCATCCCTGATATGAATGTCGTAAACACAGCAAATATAATCCACCTTAATCGCTTCGTTTTTTCCGGTAGATGAAACCACACTACAGGCCATCGATGCACAGAGCTTACTTGAATTGTTTTTTCTGTGTGTGAGCATGTGTGTGCTCTAAAACCTTTTCAATTTTGTTTATTTGTTTATTTTTACGTTTGAAATTATTGACATTAAGAACACAACAAGGTTTGGGAAAAAAGTGATGTAGTGCTGGGTAATAATGTGAGTGACGTACTTTTAACTAAATGTGTTCAGATAGCTATTACGACCTCATATCTTAGGAACACAGTAAACAATTTGAACAATGAGTGACCATTTTTATCACATAATTGCGGTTTAGATTTATTTATACTGTTAAGAAATGGCAATTAAGTGTATTGTGAAGCTTTATAAAAACTACTGTGAACCTCATCAAATGATTGATTCTCATATAATCACGTTAATTTTTAATGTGTTCTAAGTGCGTATGCTGAATCTATTGAAGGAAATTGGAAAACATAAATTGCTTCACATGTTTAACCCCTGAAACATTGGGAACTAAATCATAGTATTCCTTACATATTTGACTTAATGAATGTTTTTTATGTAAATAAATTAATAAAGAGCAGAATTACACTGAAGCTCTATTTATTTATGTCAAACAACTGTTGCTCATTACTCATCATTAGTGGGGTTACTGTTGTGGTTTGTGTCTTGCGTGTGTGCATGTTTCATCCATTTGAAAAGGAAACAAAGCCATGAGTAGAGGTCAGACCAAACTGATTCACCTTTCATGATTGCTGGAAATGCCCCTGGGCGTTCTAGACATTTTGATCTTGCCACATTCTTATCCTGTGATTTTTTAACTTCCCTCTTAAGCACTGCCATATTAATGAATTAATCAAAAATCTGTTTTTGGTTGCAAACAAAGTCCTGCAGCTCTACATCAACCTGAATAGAGAATGTTTTGTTTTTTTATTCTGTAGTTTATATTAATAAACACAGGTCTTCCTGTATAAATAAAACGTTTATTCATAACCTTATCTATTAACATATTTATTTTTTGATTTTCTCATATATATGTATATATGTATATATAACGTATATATATATGTTATATTATATTACAACATATTGGAACATCTCTTGTCATTTGAGAGGGATTCATATTTTTGTTTTAACTGAATGTAAATTAAGATTATACAAGATGTTATTAGCAAACAACAGCCACATTTACCTAATAAAAGTGAACCGAATCAAGGCATGCTGGGGGTTTAGATATTATTAAATGCAATAAAAAAAATCACAGACTCGTTTTTTTTAATGCGGATTATTAACTTTTTGTGTATTTGTTTGTTTTGTTTTTAGGAAAAATCATGTTAGGGCTTTTTTTTTTTAAAGATTATGACTCCTGAGCGATATATGCAATTTAAGTTCATCCCAAAACATTTGTCTACTACCACCAATGGATTTCTACCATAAGAATTTGAGTTAGAAAAGGAAATGATTTTCATGAACATAAACATAATTTACTGTGTTAATATGAGAGCAGAGATAATCCTCATAATGTTCGTTATGTTTTGGATGGACTGTAGGCTAATAGAAACATACAAAAATCTCCAAAACCATGCGGGTTCACTCACTTACCACCAGTTAAGATTATGTTGCCATTTGGAAAGAATGGGAAGGGAAAACAATAGTAACCAATCATGTTATGAAGTTGCCTTCAGGCTACATTTTGATAACCCCAAACATGTTTATTAACTCAGCTATTTCCATGAAAAGAAACTTGCTGTTTCCATTGATGTAAGAGCAGCACACATCAACTCTCTGAAAAAACTTAAATGCTTATAGAAAA